TGAAGAGCAAGTCAATTCTCAAACCTTCCTGGTATCTACAGTTTTTATGGGCGGGATGATTTGGCAAAATACTCCAAGTGATTAATTTTTTTGTCCTCTTTGCTTCTTTCATCCAGATTTAAATAGTAATGCAAAATTCAGGGCAAAAACTAGGCAGCCTACCACAGCGGGAGAATATGTAGACTTTTTTTTTAAAGCAACAACATGTACATAAAATGTGCGGAATGAGAAAACAATCACACTGAAAACAATGAAAGTAAGAATCAAAACCCTGACCTGCTGTCTTGGGCCCGCAGTGGGAAAAGGACAGAAGTCAACGCCTGCGGAGAAAGGAAGATCTTGAGTGAATCCAAATCCTGAGTGAAGGACACTGGGTGTGGACGGGAGGAAATCACTTTAAAGTGCGACAGGCTGGGTAAAAGCTGAGCCATCTCTTCCAGCTGCATGTAGGGTAACCTTCAGTGTCTGACCTAAAACTAAATCAGTACGAGTTTTAAAGTATAAAAAAAATCCAAAAAGGCTAATTCTAGCTGAGTGAGAGTGATAAAAATACTGAGCAAAATAAGAAACTATTTCTCCCTTTGGGAAACTCAGCATAAGACAGTTAAGCCAAAGCTGACAGAGCCTACATTTCCAATCAACCTTTTTTTGTAGAAAACGCTATTGTAATGTATTATTTATACTCCTTATCTCTTCAGAAGTAGGCCTACTGTCTTTTGGCCTGGGTACACATAAAAGAAAGATGAGAAAATCTACTATAGAGTGACCTTTATCTTAATACAATATTACTAGAACACTGGGAAATTTAGCGTTTTCAAAAAAAGTAGAGAAATCCATTTTCAAAGCTTGCATCTGTCATGTTGAAAAAAAATCCAACCTTTATACATAACATTATTCTTCATATCGGTGACACTTGTGGCCCGATTTACATTTGAATTTGGTGATCAGAGACGATTGAAGGAGAGACATGTTTTGCAACTGTGTAGAGTGAGACAGCACACCTAAAACAGTAGGTGGTCATTATGGCCCTGGGAGAGAGGCAGACTCCACAATGAGCCTTGCTTAGAAAGAGGGAAGGAGACAAGTAGAAAGTCACAGGATGGAAATAGATGCCCCGTAAACAAGATGTGTCATCTTTAGGGGCCCAAAGATTACTCTTTATCTGAACGTTGAGTGCTTCTTTTAACTAATTAAAATGAAGAGATCAACACATAAACAGAAAGAAACTAAGGTATTTTAAAGACACTCTAATTAACTTTTTTACTCAATGAGTTCAATTATAATCTGACTCATATGTCACTCACCAAAAATGTATTGGACGCCTGCACTGTGGTTCATGTAATGCTAGGGTTGGGAGTAGAGGAGAAAAAAGAAAATTCTGTCCCTAGGCTTACAGGGTTCACTGTCCATCAGGAGAGACAGGCTGTGTCAAATTATATTACTGTAGTGCGATGAAGGCAGCAGAGGTGGTGAGGTGCTTAGATTCTGCAGCCAGGCTGCTTGCGTGTGAATCCTACTTCATACACTTTAGAGCTGTATGAGGTTGGGCAAGCTACTTCCACTTTGATGCTTTGGTTTTGTCTGTAAAACAATGCTAAAAAAGAATAATACTCACACTGATATTATGAAATGACGTGCATGTTAATACATATAAAGGTTTTAACAGTGCCTGGCTAGGATTACTGTTCTTGTTTTAATGCTGTGCACAGCATGCTGTGCAACGATACAGGAGAAGTGTGAGACCCAGCTCAAGATCCTGCATTAGAACAATCAGAGAGAGCTTTCCAGTGGAGATGAGATTTAAATGGAATTTCGAAGTAATCTGCTGGAATTTATACAAGTGTGTGATGGTACATGGGACAGCATGTACAAGCAAACAGGGAAGAGAAGCCCCTGAGAGAAGTATTTGGAGAGGTCGATGAGTAGAATCTAGGCTATACTAGGCAATTTAGATTTTTATCCTAAACACAGTCCTGAATGTTTGTGCACTTATGCATGCTGGTCATCTCATTCTTTGTTTTCTGCAACAGTCTCACCTCCCCAGCCATCAATTAATCTTCAGCTCTTAATCAATGCTCTATTTGGCTACAAGGTTTAAAAAACCATATTGAACTAGGTCATCTCTATGCACAACAACCTGCATTTTATTTCTTGTTATTCTTTAGACTGAATCTAAATATATTGGCCCAGTATTCAAGTTCCTCTCTCCACTGTCCAAAACATATACAAATTTACTTTTCTCATCATAATAGGATTTCATAAAATCTAGCTTCTTTCTTGTTATTCTCCTCCTCCTCCTCTCTCTGCAGATTTTATTCGCCCCAGTCTCTGATTTTGCTCAAGCAGTTTCCTCTTTGGCACTTTAATCTCTCCAGATCAATTTTAATTACGTCTTTTAAAACAGGCTCAATTTTGACCATCGTGAAGGAAAAGAAAGTTTGTTGACTAAAACCTTACAGCATGTTGATAAGCTTCTGACACCACCTTTCTTGGTGCCTAGCTTCACAATAACACACTTTAGAGAGCTGCCCCACCCCCATCCCATCTCTCTCCACATTGTCCATGCTTTTCCATGAGTGGAGATTGTGTCTTCTAGATATCTTACTTTCCAATGTAAGTATATAAATACATCTATAGTATCCTATATACTAAACAATCCAGTAAATGCTTGGTAGATGAATATATTATAAGTAAGCATATCTCATCACATAACCTCTATAATAAGATTATTATGTGAAAGTTTCTTACATGTTTAAAAATTAAATGCTTGTCTCTTGCAAGCTGAATTGAAAGAAAATCAAGATAGCAGGTTATGGCTGACATTTACTTAGGTGTATATACTTCACAGAGATAAATAGAACAGTTTAAAAAAAGTTTTGGAATTCTTTCAATGAATGACTTTTAATATTGGTCTTCCATTATAAAATGTAGGTGAAGTCATAGAGAATTTACAACTTAGAGTAAATCCCTGGACATTAAAATTTAGAGGAATGAGAACACCATTTATTCAATATCTACTGTGTACCAGTCATCACAAGGCTGCTAACTTTGCATAAATTATCTCATTAAATCTTTCTAATATCTCCTCTCCAGAAAAGTAATTATTATGATGGTCATTTTTTAGCCGTCTGGCTCAAAAAAGTTTAAGGACTCTTTCCAAAGTCTTGAGTCTAAGTAATCATTTGGGATTTGAATCCTGGCCTATCTGGCCCTTGAGCCAAAGTACTTTGAGAGGTTCTGTAGACTTTAGTTAGAATGGCAGTATTTAGGAATAGGTGAAATAACTTGACAATTTGGACAAGTAACAAACTTTCTTTGTCTCAGCTCCACATTCTTAAAAATTTGTTCTAGATAATATTTAAATTGTTGTAGACAAGTGGCATCTTAAAAAACACACACACACACACACACACACATTTAAAGATCTCATGACATAGAGAGTTAGGTGGAAAACTTGTTCACATCAGTGAGTTATATAATGACTACAGCAGGAACATACAGGCCCAGGCAAAAGTAGGTCAATAATAATAAATAATAAGTAAATAAATAATACAAGAATAAAGTGTTTCATATACAACTGTAAACCTAATTTTGCCAATGCCAAAATGTATCCAATATTTTAGAGACCATAAAGTTATTATTAAATGTATTACACTCTAAACTATTATTTGATGTCAGTAATGGTAATTTGACTAGACTCTCAGGCCTCTTCTCAATGTTGTGCCACAAAGTATTTTAATACATGAGAGAGAAAAGTCTAGAATAACATTTATGTGTAAGATAGTTGAATGTGGTAATTATCTTTAAAAGCCCTCTCCTGTCTTTAGGAATCTTTAGAATGATTGGTTTTTCTTGAGTAACTCAGAACTAGTTTATACCCACAATCTGAAATGGACTGAATGCAATGAAAGGCTAATATACAGAATGCTCTCATCATTACTAGTTAAAACCTTTCTTCCACACATTGACTTCATTTCCCATTTGACTCTTGTGGAGGAGTTTGGTCAGGGCTAATGACTGAACATTCTTCTCACACATACACAGCCCTCCTGAAAGTTAGCTATATCTTCTTCTGCTGATAAGGTTCTGAGACTTTGTCACTGAACTTGGTTACATGAAATTAAAATCTTTTAAATCAAGTCATCAGGATGACAGGCAATCCACGGCACAAACTGCCATTGCATTTCAGAAGGATAATTTAATACATTAATTTATACCCTCAGGGCTCCAATCTGGCTTGTAAGAACCCCTAATTAAACTAGCCATTGGAGAAAAGAGACTCTAAAAAGGAGGGAAAAATGAGCTCCAAGTTACTTGAAAATATGATAGAAGGCTAAAAGAAAGGCCAGGAAATACCATGGAGGCTGAAAAATTAGTTTTCTTTTCTTTCTTTTTTTTTTTTTTTTTTACAATGGACTATGATAACATTTCAGTTCACTCTGGGATCCTGTAAGTAAAAAAACCCCAAAAAACTAATAATCAGAGAACAGAATGGGGACTCTGCTCTACAAGAAGTAGGTCCAGTGCATATTCTAATATGAATACCATAGTTCAAAACTGTATCTCTCTAGCATTGCAGTTCCATACACTGAACAGATAGTTCTAGGTTATGGTTAAATGGCTCCAGATACAGGCTAACAAGCCACATCAAAAAAATCTTATAAAATTTAAACATTAACTTAATAGACATATAGCTTCCAATTAAGTGTTTCCATCAGCAAATATACTTTGTAATAACAGAAGAAAAATTTAAGGGGAAAAAGATGGCAGCATGCCACAAATAATTCTGAAAGAAAAAATTATTGTGAAACCCTTTAGGTATTGCTCAACAAACCAGTTAGCTATTTGTTGACTACAGTGGTACATATTCTACCTGGGTTATTGTTGTAAATTAAAGGGAAATTTAAAAATGTTTTTCCAGTTTTAATTTTAATGTAATAATTTACTAAGTATGTGGTGTGAAAAGTTAGTATTCAATAAACATGGATGGTAACTCATACCTTAAATTCCTCCAAGATTTTGTAATTTTTCCCATGATATTCACAAAAGTTTTTCACTTCTTTGCACTCAGGACAGCATCCATTGTGTTCCACTTTAGTACACTTTGGGTGAATTTTAGGGCATTCTGGCTGGTCGCAAACAGGTCCATCCAGCGCACAGACACAAGGGCAGTTGGAATGCCCTGGGAAAAATCGTTCTCCCAACTTGTATACAAAGCCGCTGTCATCCACACACCCTTTCCCTCGATAGTCATCAAAGATCAGATTGTCATTACTGGAGGTCTGGTCCCCTTCATCAGCAGGATAGTCTTCATGACTGATGGCAGCAGAGGTGACCAATCCAGGGATGACCAAGAGAAGTATGCAAGCTTCATGAATATGAAGAGCCATCCCCCTCCTCAAAGGCTTCTGGATGTGCTCCTACTACTGAATATACTCAGCTCCTTCCATGGGGAGGGGTAGGCTGAAAATAAATATTTTTAAAAAGTAATTTGACATATATACAGAAAATGTAGATTTATTTAACCCTATGCTCTTAACCTATTTATTTGGGATCTGTTTGGAAGATAGACTTGAAGTAGACTAAGTTCATGCAACTATCTATGCTTTATTATGAAGTCTAGAGACTTGATCCCTGACAACATATATGGAGTTCTTTCACATAGGAACCTTAAGCTTGAAGTCACCTTCTGATTTTTAAAGGTCTGGCTTTGTCTAACTTGTAATAGATTATTTTATTGAACCTCAAAGGGTGATTTTACAAGTGCTTACTTACTAATAACTCAGAATACTTGAATTTACATTTTCTATTATTCTTTAAACTGTACTAGTCAGTAATAGAACATATATGCGTTATAACCATCTGTACAAAAACTCATGAAATTAGTGAGAAAAATTCTACTTTTAAGAGAAAGGGAAGAAACCAACAATTGAATGTTAATTGTAATTGGAATGGAGCTATTATAAAGGCCTCTGGCTTCTTTATGCCCATAGTTGGAGAACAACAATGGTCTCAATAAGGGTTTCTTGTTTTAGTAAATTTAAATCTGGATTTTGAAATATAGCCAAGAAGAAAAACAGATAACTATTCTAGAGTGAATGAGAGAAAGAAAATTTAAAAAATAACAAATGATACAAGAGAACTCTTTGCATTTAAAATAATTACTTAAAAATAAATATATTCATATTATTGTCCACATCATTATTTTACTCAGAGAGTAAGCTCCTAGTGGGCAGGAAAAATGTATCAGATAATTTGTATAGCAACTGGAATCTAGAATTTGTGTAATACTATTTGAATGTATTACTTTAATATATAATAAATACCACTTAACAATCTTGAAGACATATCTCTCCTTTGACATGCAAAAGATATTTTGCACAAAAATGCCAGAGTAAAACTATTGGTTTCATAGAATAGTAATGAGGAGTTTCCATTCATAGAAAATATTCCTTATATTCCTTATTAGTTTAGTGGCATTGACTCTTGTAAACTTCACATAGTATTAGTGCTTGTGTGGAGTGCTGCCCACTAGCAACACTCATTTAAATGGTTAGAGTGACTAACTCATATAAAAACTCTGGGGAAACTGACTTGAGGGAATAATATATAAGTAAAAGTGTTGTCAAATAGTTCATTTGTCTATTTAAATGATTTTGGCTTTATGCCAACAATCACTAAAATTGTATATTGGACATTTTTCAGATCATTTATGAATATTATTTATTGCTTTATTTTCAGATTATAATAGGAGCAATGATAAACCATCTCTTTTCAGTCTAACATACAGATGATACTTTTAAATAAGGTAAAGATGGCATTAGGGAACTTCATGAAACTATAATATTTGCATTTTAAATTAGATATGCAAATTCTAGTAATAGTAAAATAGAATGAGGTATGTTCATGCCCTCCCTTAAAAAGAAAAGTGCTCTCTAAATCCTTTTGGGTAGGTAATGATAAATGAGATGAATTTCTTTTGAAATATGTCAAAAATAATGAGTCATGACAGAATAAAAAAATGCAAACCTATAATTCTACTTGAGAATCTGGAAGCTCCCTTTGACAAAGCATTTTTTCCTCTTAAATTACTACAAAGGCTATAAACATTACAGAAGCTTCTGAAAAAAAGCATATGTATTTTATTAATTAAGGCATGCATTTTATACATCATATATATATATATATATATATATATATATATATATATATAAAGTTTATCCTGGAAGAAAAAATATATTGTGCTTCTTTATAGTGTTCCAGTAGTAACTGTTAATACATACAAAATAAGCCATATAAAATACCCATATCATTCTGCTTCAAAAGGACATAGACAGAAATGATCTCTGTAAGCTACAGGTAGGCATTAATGTCAGGTTATAATAAATGTATATTTAAAGGTAAAAAATGGATGTAATATCCACTTTATATAAACATTAAGCATGCTTTTATTATATGAAATACCTTTTAAAATCTGCATGAAGAAAAACATGGTTTTCTTTTTAATATAATAAAGTTCTTAAGCTATTAAAAAATTCCCCTTCATAACTGAGCTGCTTTAGTGCAGTTTAAGGCACTATTTAAGAGAAAAATATTAGAGAAATCCAATAAAATATTTATCTGAAGATTTTTAATAAGCAAGCAAACATTGCTGGATGGAAGAACACTTTCCAGCTAAACTTTCTCCTCCCCTCCCCACATTGCTACATATCATTTAAAACGACAGCATTTATTTCTTTGAGAAAACAAACATAACTCATGTCATAAGATACACTTACCTAATCACTCTGGAGGTTAATAGTGGTGATGGGGGTCATAGACCAATATGAACTAAAAGATCAGGTATGTTTTAGAAAAGCAGTTCCTCTTTAATTGTCCAAAGAACGCATTTTCAGGCTTGAATTAAAGGCAATCCATTCTCTCTACCTCTCATTTCAAACCACAGTCAAGAAGCAGTCTCCCGCCCTTCCGGAGAGAAATACAGCAGACACACATAAGAAATATGCTTTGGACCTGTCTCCAAAATTCAAAGCAAGAAGCAATGCTGGTCCTGTAGAAATCCAGACTCAAGTAGCAGAATCATGTTGAACTTGTTTTTAGCATTTTCTCAGATCCTTCTATGAAATTTCCTGGCTGATTACGCCTCCTCCACACATGAGTTCACTTACACAGTGTTTGCTACGGCAGTAGAGGTGATTTGGCTAGGCTCGGTGGATCACAAACAGCAACAGCATGCTGTCGCTTAAAACCCGCTCCGCTGGCAACGGCATCAGCATCATCCACAATATGTTGCTCGAATCCCTTCTTACACACCAGAAAATACTAACTGTGGACGTGAAGGAAAGGAGCAACTTTAGCTGGGTTTCTGCATCACTGAGAGCAGTTTGCAGACTGCTGATTTGGAGCTCATTCTGCCGGCAGCCGGGAATTCCTCAGCACCACGGACAGCGCCAACTGGCTTCTGAGCCCATCAGGGTCGAAATCCCGAGCTGCTTCTTTAGACCAGGCTGGTGTTCTCTAAGCAGTCGCACTTTATACAGCTGATGCATGCACGGGGCAGGGGGGTGGGGGAGTGGGGGTTGGGGGAGGCACTTTACGTGCGAGATACTTATTTACTTATTTGCATTGAATTACAATAGAAAATAAACATTGTAATTATACTTAATGCATTCTTGGATGGGCTGCAGTGATGAAAGTTCGGGAAGAGCCTTGCATTTAGATTTAAACCAGCTGCAGTCTCTGATTATTATTAATAGATAAAGCATAACGGTTGTCAAAGAATCTTCAAAAATGTATGCCGTCCAATTCTAATTGACTCTTCAGTTGAAGAAACACGTTCCCTGTGCTACATGGTTAAACTCCAGATCTTCCTGAAGCTTAAATTTGATTTTTTAAAAAGTAGCCTGGTTCTCCTGCAGTTTGTTCTCTAACATTCAAAATCAATCTCCTGTAATTCATCTAGTCTGTCATTAGGCGTCATTGTAAAGCTGTTTCTTCCAAACCTCTAGCAAAAATGCCCTGTTTCTAAAATCTTATCAAAATAAGAGAAGAAGAAAAAAGAGACGCAGACACAAATAAATGAACAGAAAGTTTTGTTTTTTTATTGGTAACAGTATGAGCATTAAAATATATATTCAAAGCATGTTTTAAAGCAAATTGTAAATGTTACCTGCTCGCATACTTAATCAGGTATTTACTGGACTGGGACTACATGAGGCATTTCCAAGCCTTAAAGGGAAAGCCCTCTGCAGTGGGATATGCTGCCCATCAAGTCCATACTCGAACAGTGCCATCACAGCCTCCGGAAAACAGACTCTCTCCGTCATGAGAAAACACCACTGTGTGAGCTTCATTCTCATGGCCCACCAATTTGTAAATCTGCCCTGATTGAAGATCTAGCAAATGAATAACGCCACTGCCACTCGCCTGAGCTAATACTCGACCTGGAGGGAGAGAGAAAGAGAGGGAGAGAGGGAGAGAGGGAGAGAGGGAGAGAGGAGAGAGAAAGAGGAGAATATCAAAGTTTCATTTCCTCAGTCACAGTTTATAAGCAATAAGATATATAGTTTTGCATTAAAAAATTTTAATGTTGCCATAATTGCAGCTGTCCCACTCCCCCCCCTTTTCCCACCTCCACCCACTCCCACCTCCCACTTCCCACCTCCCACCTCCTTTGGCCTTCACCAAACTATTGTCCATGCCCATGGGTATGCATATATGTTCTTTAGCTGATCCCTTCACCTTTTTAAAAATATGTTTTTATTGATTTCAGAGAGGAAGGGAGAGGGAGAGACAGATAGAAACATCAATGATGAGAAAGAATCATTGATCAGCTGCCTCCTGCATGCCCCCTACTGGGGATGGAGCCTGCATCCTAGGCATGTGCCCTGATCAGGAATTGAACCATGACCTCCTGGTTCATAGGTAAATGCTCAACCACTGAGCCAAGCCAGCCAGGCTTCCTTCACCTTCTTTATCCAGTTACCCGTACCCCCCTCCCCTTGGGCACCGGCCAGTTTGTCCCATATATACATGCTTCTGATTCCATTTTGTTCCTTAGTTTATTTTGTTCATTAGATTCCACATATTAGTGAGATCAATGTATATTTTGTTTTAATTTTAACTCAACAAACTTGTTTTGTGTTAGATACCAGTCATTAAATATGAACTAAGTCCTGAATGTATAGAAAATAATTCCAGTCAAAATTAAGACACGTGAATGATTAAATTATAAAAATTTAAAATGAAAAAGTAAAACCTAATGTGTTACTGACTTTATATGCAGAGGTCATCAAATGCTCTGCTAGTCTCCTTAAATTTGGGATTAATAAATAATATTGAGGAGATGAGGTTGAAAGCACTAAGCAACACAGCTTTCCTTTAAAAAAACACAAGCTTCAAATATATCCATGGCAAAGATATACACATATATAGTGTATAAGTTATTTATATTTTAAAATCTGTATTATATGTAAGCTGTTTTATTATAATTATACTAAATTGTTACTTAAGACTATAATAATACAGTAATTGGGGTTGAAGTGAAAATACCTCCATTTAAAAGATAACTTTGGTTTTTATTACTCTAATTTAAAATTTAAAATTTAGTTAAATTTTTGTTACATAGGGAACTAAATGCAAGACAAAGTATACTCATGATTTTCATACCATATTTTTATGAGTGGATAATTTTGTTATAGGAAAAATATATCAGTAATTCAATTCTAACTACTCTTATTTTTAAAAATTCAGTAGCAAACTATCAGGAAATGTGGAGGTAAGTAAAAACAATAGATTATGTTTACATAAGTTCAGCATATGGGTTAAACAAATATAATATTAGTACAATTCATGGGATTATCTAATACAACTTAAAAGGCATATAGTACCATTTTAGTGAACATTTAAAATTCATTAAATTCAATATGCTAGAAACTAGATTTAGTTACATAACATGGATAATTTCATATAATCCCTATAATAATCTAATAATAAAAAATAATAGTAACTCTATTATATAGATGAAAAAAGAGCGGTTTGGAAAAATTAAGAAACCTGTCTATGGCGGAAGCTAGCATTTAATCATAAGCACTTTGAGTTATGTTTTCCACATCCAGGTAGCATTGTTATCAATGATGACTTCCTGACAAATTATAAGTAGGTGATATATCGTGAAAATAGAATTTGTCTATCCCATGATGAAAATTCTATATGATAGCACCATAGAGTCACAGTGAAATATTTAATCACAAATTATACTAAAAATTGTCATGGATATTTCTAAGACAGAGAAAAGTTATAAAAAGAAAGCTAACCATGATAAATATAGCTTATTTGCAAACCTTTATAACTACTGGGCTTCTTCATCTAGAACAAAGCCTGACACAGCAAAGATCCTTAGGATGGATTAAAGTGTCCAAAGCAGCAGATGTGAATATTTATTATAAACTCTCTTCTACAAAGTCTTTGCTGACAGAAGCATTGCATATGGATTTCACTTCCTGCCTCTACACGCAATAGCTGCTTGTGACTTTTCTAAGAATAAAACAACTTTTTTCTTTGTAGTCTTCATAGTATGGCTAGGAAGGGGGTAAATATTATTTACTATTTTTGAAACCAACTAGAATCAAAGCCCATAAAGAAAAGTGAAAGAGTTAACATTAAATCATTATCTTTTGTTCAATTCAAATCCATAAAAATTATAATTAGAAATAATTATAAAGGTTCTTGATGATTTCTGAAAGTTTGTGTAATAAAATGGAGGAAATGATATTGGAATTTAATGATAAGATTATATAATTCAGCAGCACACCCTCAGGTGTTTTACAAAATGTCTTTGCTAGAACAGACTTGAGTCAGCAAGTTTATGGTAAGGTTTTTCAGGTTTACTTGAACTAGGGGTATAAATTCACAACCATGTTTAATTTTACTGAAAGTATAATGGATTAAGGTTAATATGGCCCTGAACTTGTGTAAGAAGACCCAGAACTCACCTCCTTCCATGAACATAACAAATATAAACCTACATATAAAACAATTCCTCCTGGAGAACTAAGGGCTGAATAGCTTCTGCACATGAAATGAGAGAGGAACCACATAGAGAAGGGGAGGAGAGATGGAGACATGAAATCATGGGGACCCCACTCCCACATGTGACTTGTAGTAGGGGGAAATATTCCTGAGGGGACTTGCAGACAGACTCACCCATTCTAGGGTATTAAAGAGCTCTTAGACTAAGCATGAAAAGATTCCATTTACTGCCAATAGGTAGAGAACTGCAGGGACGTTCAGCATGTGTGGAAACTCTCTAGGACCAGCGGTATTTGTGAGCCCCATTATTTACAAACAGAATCACAGCTCATAAAGAAAAGTGAAATAATTATCATTAAATCATTATCTTTTGTTCCTGGGTAGTGTGGGTGGAGCTTGGTCCAAGCCCTCTAACCACCCTGCAAGGTCTCCAACAGCATGCCATGGTTACCTCGGCCAGCACTTGCTGCAGCCCCAGCCATCTGGCCCACCAGAGTGCCCCAGGATGCGCACACACACCCACTTACATTCCAACTGGCATGACAAAACCCACCCAGCATCCACAAAAAGGTTGCTCCTATTCAAGTCAATGCTTTCAAGATTGGAAGAGAAAGCTGTTTCATCTAATACTTAGAAACAAACATAGAAAGTAAAATAAAATGAAAAGGCAAAGCAATATGTTACAAATTAAAGAACAAGAAAAAAAACAAAAACAGAGTAAAAACCCCTAATGAAATGGAGATAACTAATTTGTCTGATAAGAATTCCAAGTAATAGTCTTAAGGCTGCTCATCAAAT